CTCAGTTTCTCTTCAAGCAGCAAATGACTCACGATGACTGTCACTATTTTCATGGGCATTTAACTTTTCAATTTTTTTCCACTTAGAGAATCCACCCTCTGTTTTGAAAGCAGACCGACTATCGGATGTCATACATGTTGATGAAAAAAAGAAGACAACAAAAGCAGTATGCTGCTTTATGTAGAGGTGAATACACCAACCAGGAATGATTGACCTCGTGTCCATTCAGAAGGCGTCGTTTGAACCAAAATGCAGTCAAAGAACGCCCATCTTTGGCATCAATTGGACCTTCTTCATGTTGAAATTCATGTGTTACAATATTTATTAGGTCATCTTCTTTTAGCTTAGCAACACTATTCTGTGGATTTGTTTGTGACAAAGTAGAATCCTCTTGTTTATTATTATTGTAGCTTTCAACAGGACAGAGAACAGTTTCTTCATTGGTTTCTTTTTCAAATGAAATAGCATGTTCACAATCTTGCACTTTCACCTCTTTGCTGCCATCAAAAGGAACAGATGCTAGCTTTCTGGTGTCATCACTTCCAGCAAGGAAAGCTCTCATCAATTTGCTTGACTTCACCATCAAAGCTGCAAATTGTGCATGTCTTTTGCATCCCTGTGCCCCACTTTCTTTTTTTGACATAATGGGCTAAAGGAATAAATTAATAAATACTGACTACACTATTTAGTTGCAACATACAAATTGTCAGATGAAAGGAAGCATTCTATTTTTCTAAATTCCTAACCAGAAATTATATTTAAATTATACAATTATAGTTGCAACTCAGGACTAGTTAGGCACATCTGGACCTGGTTTCACTTTAACTGCCATTATTTAGACTGCCCATATTCATGTTAATTAATGTGGCATAACAGTAAGAAAATCAATGCAGATGAGTGTATATGCTGGTAAATCATGCTTATGAGCACCATATAAATTACTGGCAGTTGCTAAATCACATTTAAAAACTCAATAGGTTTAACCACACAAATACTACAGGAGACAAGTCTGAAGTTGCTCGAATGAAAATTACACACACTGTGGAGAAGGGTGTAATCATGACATAATATAAGCCTAGATGCTCAAAGGCTATATTTAATATTAAAGGTTTTGATGGAATGAGAAAACTTAAATATCGGCTAACTAATTAGTGGTACTAGATTACGGTTCCTAGATTAAGTCGCTAGTACATCTAGACCTAACATTAATGTTAGACCTGTTATTTCCATCTGTTTAGTTTTAGGTTTGGATCTAGATGTAATAATAATGACAGAAATTTAGATTTGGGTGCATAGATTGAAAGTACTTTGTATTGAATCTACCCAGATCTAGATATAACCCTGCCTCATCAATTCTGTATTTAGATTTATTAGGCCTAACTTTTAGAACAAATGTTACGTCTAGATCTATTAACTTAATCATTAGATCTGTCCCAGTGCAATGCCTATTTTAATAGTTAGTATAGGTCTAAGTATGCCTATAATATAAGCTACAATTTTTATGATGATGGATCTAGGGTCTAGAAATAAAGTTATAACTGCAATTAGACCTAAAGTCTAGTACATTAGTTGGTGTAAGATATGACTTACAATCAAACAATACAATTACAAACCACTGCATCAGGCCTATAATGTTTACTAAATCTAGGCCTTGCCTGTTGCATATATTGACAATCTTGCACACCAGTTAATATGTTACATCAGTCTCGTATTTTCTTTTTGTTGAACATACACTTACTTGTATGTTGTACTCTAGGACTTGTACTTGATCTACAGATGAATGTTGGAACAGTGTAATTTACTTCTATACGTCAATTCGGTCTCACTGTATTTCAGTGAGTGGCTTTTAAAAAGTTAAAACTGCAAGTGTGATACACACAAATAATGTAACACTGTGTCCTTTTACTTAACGTAGGGCAGTTGTGCTATATCCTAGGGGAGGGCCTTAATTATTAATTGATAGGAATTATAGGCCAGAGGAAATTTTGTGCCTGGGAGCAACTGCTCCCCATCTTGCCACGCCACTGACATGTGAGCCACTTACTGCTATTTTTTGTAAGTCCATGAATAGTGGGCAGATGTCAAAGGATAGGAAGTCAGCTAACATCACTCCTGTTTTCAAGGGAGGTAATAAAAGTTGTCCCAGTAATTATAGGCCTATTAATTTTACATCAGTGGTTGGAAAAGTTTTT